TATTCATATGGTTCTATCTTGTAAGTCATTAATCCTTCATTTTTATTTGCAGCCATATGACATTCACCAGCTCCTGTATCCATCAATATATTTGGTCATTTTATATACCTTCTACCATTAAAATATTTTCCTTCTATTTTCATATTTTTAATATTTCCATGAGGTTTTATTTCTTTTATACCACTAGTTTCTCCTAAATATTCCTTTTTATTTGGTAGTTTAAGACTTTTTGATTTCTTTATCAACCTTCCATTATGAAATGTTATTTTATAGTCTTCTTCTTCTCTTAACTCTGTTATTTCAGGCTTATTTTTATTCATATTCTTCTGGGATCAGATTTATTCGTTTGTTTGGTTCTACTATTTTACTAATATCTTTACATTCCTTATGAATTTCTATATATGGTTTATTGGAATAAATATTCCCATAATTAAATTGGTAAATGTATATAATGCCCTATATTCCATAGTCATAATTTGATCTCCTGGTTCCATTATATCATTCCTATGTAACTTGAAATGTAATCCTAAGACTTCATTAAAATTTTTATCTTTTAATGAAACACAATATTTTGGGTAACAAGTAAATATTAACTTTTGATATGCTAAATTTCCTTCTATAGTTCCTAAATGACCATCTTCAAGATTTATAATTCTTCCATCATGTAAACTTACAGTTAATGGTGAATCTATTCCTTCTCTAAATAAGGATTTAAACATTATTTGTATTCCTGCTAAATAAACATATTGGATCTTTTCACCATGCTTTTTACTTATTTTTGAAAATAATTCTGATACTATATTTTTTGTTAAAAGATTTATTTTATGTGTTCCTTGAGTTGTTCTAACATCTATAGTTTTTTCAATCTTATGTTATTCATTTATTGCTATTCTTTCTCTTCTCCATATTCTATCTAAAATTTCCCATTTTCCTATTTTCAAATCTAAGGACAACTTTTGTATCTTCTTGAATTTATTATTATCAAAAGTTACTTTTAATCCATAACCTTCTATTCCCTCATATTCTTGGATTTCTATATTATTGTTTTCTATTTCTTCAATTTCTCTATTCAGATTCTGATCTATTATCCTCTGAATCTGCTTCACTTATAAATATTTCTTGATTATTATAATTTTCAATGTCGGATATTTCACTTAGTTCACTTTCTATTTCAAAATAATCTTTTTGTAATATTCTTACTTTTTTCTTTGTACAATCTGGACTTATATGACCTATTTCTCCACAATTCCAACATTTACATTGTTTTTTATCTTTCTTATAAGGTTTATTTTTCTGTATATTATCTTTCCTTTTATAATATTTCCTTCCAGGTTTTATGTATTTTTTCTTGAAGTTTCTATATTTTTTAAACTTTCTATTTTTATACTTTCTTTTATTTCTTTTTTCTAAATTACATCCCCATCTTGTAGGTTTTTCCATATCTTCACAACATATTCTTGTTAATTTTCCTGATTTTTTCAGTAATTGTCTTT